GGAAAGCCTCAACCGGAAGCACCAATCTGGCCCACCCCTAGGAAGTTACCTGTGATGCCATCTTCCCGCCCCTGGAAATTTACATATGGCACCAAACCTAGGACCAATGGGCTACCTGTGCATCCCTAATGCCCGCCTTAGATTCCACCCCAAACCGAGGCTATTTACAGGCCCCCACGCCACGTGTCCAGCGGAGAGATCGCCAGCAGTGGGGGTGCTGAACTCTGTCCGTGTTCTCAGACTAAAGGCCGCTTTTTATTTTATACTTCTCATCTTTTGGAAATATTTTTCATTAATGAGTGATAAATTTGGTTTCATTTCATATCAGCAAACAGAAATGAAGCTTTTTAAAAATGTTTTTCAATCAAATGGATGTGCTCTAATATATTTATCAGTATGCAGTATCTTAATGAGACATATTTGTTTCTGTTTTCTTTTGTCATTATGAGAAAGGATTTATTCTCTCTTTGTTTCTCTCGGTGCTAGAAATAAATGGAACCCAGGGCATCTCATATGCTAGACAAATGTTCTCTCACTGAACCATATGCCCAGCTTACTATCTTTGGGCCAGACTTTTTTCTGTACTGTTATGAGCTAAGTTGTGTTGTGCCCAAACTCTGACCTTTAAGTAACCCTCACACCTCGGAATGGGACTCTATTTGGATACGGGACCTTTAAAGAATGATGAAATTAAAATGCAGTGATTGGAGGAAACAATCCAACCTATCTCAACCTATCTGTAAGACTGTGGGGCCGGGTCACATGCACAGCCATAGAGAAAAGGTTGTGTGAGGACACTTTGAGAAAGAGGTGATCTACAAGCTGAGGGAAGAAACCTCAGAAAAACTAGACCCGCTGATGCTTTGGTCTTGGATTTCTGGCCTCCAGAACTATGTGAAATAAGTTTCTGCTATTTAGGCAACTTAGTGGATGGTATTTTGTTATTACAGCCCTAATAAGCTAATACACACGGCAACTCATCCATAATTATATAGGTAAAATCAATTTGGGAATAGTAATTAGAGTCAAGTGCAGTGTACACTCCTGAAATCTACCTACTTTGCAGGCCTGAGAGAAAAGGTTCTTGAGTTCAGTGATGGCTTGGGCAACTTAATGTGAGTCTCACAAAACAAAAATTTTAAAAGGCCAGGCTGTAACTCAATGAAAAAGTGCTTTTTCAGCATGCATGAAACCCTGGATTTAATCCCAGTACTGCAAAAAGGAAAAGAAGGCAAGGGAGGAAAGCAAAAAAGAAGGATTTGAAGAAACTGCAGACAAATATAAGTATGTATTTTATTAAATATATGCAAAATTTCATTAAACATATGCAAATTTCATGTGCATATAAAGGAAAATTTAAAAAGTATTTGATGTTACATTGCTACTCATTGACTGTTTTCTTTTAATAATAACATTATTCCTACTTTATCACCAAATGGAGTTTCTTGTAGCAGTTGTTGATTAGCTATTTTGACTGGTGACAGTATGATCAATTCTGGGACTGAGTCAGGACTGACTGCAATTGTTTTTTACTCTGGACATTTCTTTCATTGCTTATTTCACAGCTAATCCTTTACTGCCTGTTATGTTTGATACATTGTATCAACTTGAGAACTCTAAAAGCTTAACTGAGCAGTTAGCTCTACATCCTGGAGTGTGGAGGACATGCCCTTAGGGCTCTAGGAGAAGTTTAGAAGTTTTTACTAAGTGACTCAGCAGGGGGCTGGAGCCTCACTTTGTAAACATCTTCATCCTCTGCAAGAGAAGGGCAGAGAGATGATATGAGTGCTTCACCCACCCTGTAGGAAGGCTGTTTATAATATAATGGAGGGAAAGAGGCTCCTTCCATCTGCTTCACTGTCTTGCAGCCTTGTAGTGTGCCATCCTGCCTTGGAGTCTGCTGATTCTGCACTAAAACCTCCCCAAACTGTAAGCTAAATAAACCTTTTCTTTCTTAATTTTGGGGGTGACGTATTTTGTCTCAGCATGAGAAAAAAGTAACCAAGACACTAGGGAAACTACAGTGTCACATTCTCAAAAAGCCTTAGAACCAACCTTCCTTGATTAATAATCTTTTTCAGACCCCTCCAAACTAGTGTTGGAAAATTCTACAGAAGAGGCCTAGTGTCACTGTATTTTTAAGTTGTCAAGGAAAATTTTTTCCTCCCCTCCCAGCATGCAGTCTTCAGAGGGAGTAAGAGTAGGGAAGAGAACCCGGGCCTGGTGGTACGTTTGTAATTCTGGCAGCTTGGGAGGCCAGGGAAGAAGATCCCAAGTTTAATCCCAGCCTGGACAATTTAGCAAGTTACAAAAGCTTACCGAATTAAAAAAAAAATGGGGGAGGGACTCACCAATTCTATAAGGCTCTGTTCCCTTTGTCCTCCAACCCCACTCCTTACTAGGGATGGAACCCAGGGTCCTTGCATGAGCTGTAATCCTCGGTTCTTTTTATTTATTTATTTAGATTTTTGAGATAGGGGCTCACTGTGTTGTTAAGGCTGATTTTGAACTTTGAGCCCAGGCTGGCTTTGAACTCACAGCAGTCCTGCCTCAGCCTTCCAAGTGCTGTGATTAGAAGCATGTGCCACCATGCTTAGCCACCCCCCACCTTTTTTTAAAACTCTGTTTTGTGAAGAGAACTTGCCAGGTTGGGCTAGGACTTGCCATCTTACCAACTCACCCCCCCCCCCCCAGTGCTGGCCTTACACGTGTGTGCCACCTTGCCAGGTTTACCATGTGAGTTTTAAGTGCTCTATTAATTGCCTTATGTGTGGTCTTCTGGTGATAGCCAGTGGCTGGATGATCTTAGAATCTGCAGCTGTCATACTTGAAGAAATCATACATAGCTAGTTAAGCTGACCAGCTGAGCCTCAGTGACAACTGCTGTCTGTTAATCATAGAAGCTAAAGTCAATTAGAGTCTCTGAGCTAAAGTTCAATTTAAATTAATCATTTATTCTATAGTTCAGGTGATGAATTGCTACATTACTCAGCTGTGGAGCTAAAAGTAACAGTTTCTTTAGAAAACAAAAATGATCACAGTGCTTTCTTTTCTTTTCTTTAATACTTTAATGTTTTCATTGTGTCTTCTTAAATTCTGTGAAATGCCTAGAGTCCAAAGTAGCTGTTACTTCTCATCAACTGACAACACAGCTTCGAATCTGGGTTACAGCTAATCTGTGAGGATGAACATCTTGGTTGTCAATTTTTAATGTGCCTGGTTCTAGGGTTTTGCTAGTGGACAACACAGAGAAAAAAGGTGGAAGGGAAACACAACGCGGCATATTTAAAGTTAGTTAAAATGAGGACATTAAAGGAAAGCCATGATCTTCCCTTACTCCTTTTTTACTCCACATTTATTGAGCACTAATGGCAATGTTCTAAGTGCTGAGAATCAAAAAAAGTGCATGTTCTTACCGGGTTCATTTCTCTATATTAACTGGCTCATCTGAGGTCTCAGAGTGAAAGATCAGAATAAAGAGGGAATAAATAAAATGTCTTTGAGGGAATATTAAGTACAGAGGCTTCAAAGCTCTAGGCAAAAGGGCAGAGTCCAATTGGGCATAGTGTTGTAATCCCTGCACTTGGGAGGCTGAGGCAGGGGGAGCACTCTGAAATCAAGGCTAACCTACACTACATGATGAGTTCAAGGCCAGCCTGAGCAAGAGTGAGATCTTGTCTTAAAAGGTACGGTGGGAGGACGAGGACTGTGATGACCAAAGGACACAAAGTGACAGGGTAACAAAGGGAGGTAGAAGATCTGTGAAGAAATTCGTATTATTGTTCTTTAATCTTCATAAAAATCCTATCAAGTAGGTTTTTAATTTTATTTTCATCTTTTTGAGACAAGGTCTCACTATGCAGCCCAGGCTGGTCTCAAACTTGCTCTGATCCTCCTGTTAACCTCCTCAGTGCTGGAATTACAGGCCTGCCACCATACCCGGCTCTACTACGTATTATCATTCCCAGTTTTTGTGTCTTTCTGAGACAGGGTCTTGCTATGTAGTCCGGCTAGCCTCCATCCTCTTGCCTTGGCCTCCCTAGTGCTGGGGTTACAGGCGTGTGCCACCACATCTGGCTCTTACCATTTTATATAACAGGGAAATGAGACATAGGAAAAGACCCTGTGGGTTGCCCAAGGTCCTACTGTTAGCATTTGGCAAAACCAAGAATCTCACCTTCATCTCTAGAGTCTGATTTTAAGCACAGCTCCTGTTGCTTGTCAAAAAAAGGCACAGGATTAGAACTAGGCAGCTTCGCTCCACAGTGAGGCTCCCTCTCTTCCTTTTACTGCACCATTGTGGATATGTATCTTGAGTTCCTATGTTGTCATGAAACTGATGGACACTGGCGTTACACGGGTGGTTAAAGCACCTCTGATTCCCTCCTTGCTTTAGTTGATGGCCCTTCGGCAAGTAAAGCGGCCTCTACCAAGCAAAGCGGCCTCTACCAGGTGCTCGGCCTCGCGTTCTCTTATCTGCCCAGCTGGGAGAGGCGGCCAGGACCGGTGGCCATGGGGAGAGGCAGCCTGCTCTGCCCTCGCGGGGGGAGGGGAGGCGTTGTGGGTCTCCTGCTCTCTGCAGTCCCTGGGCTAACGAGGAGTCTGCAGCGAAGTGCTCTCTGCATCAGGCCTCCAGGTCCCGGGTCCGCAGGCCGCGCCTAGCGCTCCCGAGCCTCGTGGACCGCGGACCCCGGCGGAGCGCAGTGGATGGAGGGCGGCTCTGGGAAGCCCTGGGCAGGCGCCGCCTAGCGCAACGCGGCCTCTGCACCGGTCCCCACAAGACATCACCCGCCGCTGGCAGCGCGTGTTTCTAAGCCGCGCAACCACTGGCAGCAGCTCCGCCCCTGCCGGGGACCCGGAGCCGGCGCGCACAGGCCGACATGGGGGTGGCGGCGGCCTCCGCGCGCCTCGGGTCACGTGGCTCGGGGGACCGCATGGCGGCGGCCCGCGCGCCCTCGCGTCTCGGCCGGCGGGGCGGCCCGGGCGCGCGCGCCGACGGGGCGGGCGCATGCGCAGGGGGGCGCGCCGCCTCTGCCCCTCGGCGAGGGTGTCTATGGAGAGGCGGCGACCGCGGCTGCTGAAGGAGCGGAGGCTGAGGCCGCGGCGATGGCGCCCTTCCCTGACGAGGTGGACGTCTTCACCGCGCCGCACTGGCGGATGAAGCAGCTGGTGGGGCTCTACTGCGACAAGGTAACGGGGCTGCGCGCGGCCCGGGGACTCGGGCTGGCGGTCCCCGGGCGGCCGGGCCTGCGCCGCGCTCCGCCTCCCGGCAGCTGTCAGCCCCGTGCCCCTGCACCCCTTCGCCCGGCCCGGGGTCCCCTCCGCGCCGCCGCCTCGGCCCGGGCCTACGGCACCCGCGAGGCTCCCGGCTCCGCGCCGTCCGGGGGGCCCCGGCCCTCGGGGACCCCGCTCGGCCGAGGCCCAGGCGCGCCCCAGGCCGCCCGCGGCCCCCCGGCGCCCTTCGGTCCCTGGGCGGCTCGGGGCCCCCCGGAGTCTGTTTGCGGACACCCAGCTGTGCGGCGCGCTTCTTCCACGCGCGGCCGCCCCTGTTTGTTTCCCCCTCCTAGCTTTTCCCCGCCTAGACTTGGGAGAAAAACCAGCTTCGGGAACGGGGAGGACTTTCTGCTCCCCGCGCATGGGTTTCTTTCTCCTCGCAACTTTGAATGTATCCCTTACCGCCCCCGCGTGTTTATTTCCTCGATGTCAGTCGCGCTGCAAGACAGTTGTTCTTTGTTGGGGTCCTTTACCCGGGCTCCGAGGAAAGGGACCCGGGGAAAGTTGTTTGGTACGGGAAGCGAACTGAACCTGGGCGGGTGTCCCCGGGGCGCGGCGCGAACTTGAGCCCCACTTTTGGGCATAGAGCTCGGGGCCTTTGGCTAGGCTTCCAAGACCACGTTACCATGCCCCGTATTTGCTAGTTTACGCCAGGGAAAATCGTAGGCGTATCCTCCAGCCGCCAGGCAACCCAGTTTCTCATAGAAAGCAAGGTAATAAGTAGCTTTTAAAAGACTAAGCATAGAACTAAACTTTTTACTTTCATAAATTATGTAATATTAAGCAGAACCACCCTGGACAGCCCGCGGAGGTGGGGGTTGGAGGATGCCCAGTGTTTGGGGCTGGCCATACTCTAGACTGGCAGTGTAAAGCAGTGAAGTTTGTGTTTCTGATTTTAGCGCCGCTCCACAACTGTCTTCGTCCTCCCTCCATTTTGGAAATTAAAACAAACAAACAAACAAACCAGAACCTGTTTCAGGTGTGGTTTTAAACCATAGGACTGTTCTAGGATAGTGCTTTTCAACTTGTTTGCTGTGAAAAATCCTGACCTCCAAACCTCTGGGCTCCTAGACAGACATCTATTTTAATTTAAATCTCTCCCGGAGGGTGCAGTGCACACCCACTGATGTGAAGCACTTACCCAGGAAAAGTTTAAGGAGTGGGTAAGGTCCTGAGCAGAAGTGTGTAACACTGAACTTACGTGCTGAAGTGTCTTTATCCTCTTGGCTTCTGACGTGTGTTCTAGTAGTTGTCTTTAATTGGAAGGAAGAAAAAATAGTGGGGGTGGGTTTTAATTTTGTCATGTCAAAAATGAAAAAGGGAGGTTAAATCCAAGCATTCAGGAGGCCGAGACGGGAGGAATTAGGAATCCCTGGCCTGTGTAGTGCACTGGCCAGCCTGGACTAATTACTACTAATTTATTCTTGGGATAGCAAAAAATAATCACTATTTCTAAATTAATTGCATATAGTTAATGAAGTTATTGTATTTGTTTAAAGTATTGTATTTATTTGAAGGTTAAAACTCTGGTTTTCTGAGCCTTGACGGGGGTGATTTAGCCGCGAAAAACACTGCATAGGAATTTGACATCATTTTCTTCTTGATCTTAGCAGCCAACGGAAATCTTTCTTAGGATGTCCTTGGTGAGCAAGACTAGAAAAAGAGGTATTTTGTGATGGCTGAATCTAAAAGAAATTAAGATTTTGTTGTATGAAGTTTTACTGTTATTACCATTTGGTCATATGGATCAGGTATCCAATCCAAATAGCCTCCAGTAAAGCTATCCAAATGAGAACTCGTTTTTATGGTCAAACTAAAAAAATTACCAAGTGTGTTGTTTACTGTATCCTTTATTTTGACTCTGAATGTCCTCATAACTATAAAAAAGTTAGTTTTATTTTCAGTACTGCACTTCCATGCGATGCACATAAGTGCAATATATTTTAGAATTATTCATTTGTTTACTAGAATTAAATCAGTTATTTCTCTACTTAATTTATTTAGACCAATGTATTTCAAAGCAGTTGTAGGCCATTTTAAATATTGATACAAATTATTCTTTGTTCATGGATTTTTTTTTTTTTTTTTTTTTTTTTAGGGTGGTTTGAGACAGGGTCTTTGCCATGTGGCTTAAACCAGCCTTGAACTCACTATGTAGCCCAGGCTGGCCTCGAACTCCTGCCCCAGCCTCATGAGTGCACCGCCAGGCCTGGCTCTCTTATTTCTATGAAAAATCTTACGGAGCAATTTTTCACCTCTGTTATCTAGACAATAGTCTTTCATGGTAGGTAGGGCTAGGGAGTATTTCTTTTTTATAGCTGGAGATTTATTATAGGGCTGGATTAGATAAGCAGTCACTGACATCCAGGTGAACACCCATGTCAGGATTAGACCATTTAATTTTCTTGGTGGGAAGCCATAGTAATTTGAGTTTTGGTTTGATAACAGTCAGCTAAAGAAAACCTTTTATGCTAACTGACTGATTAAATTTGGATAATTTTAATAAAAATTTGCATAAGATAATCTTTTGCCTATTTTCTTCTAGTTCTTCAGTTTTTCCTCTAATCCTGAACACTTCATTCTGTTGGTTCTGTTGCTTGACTGTGTAGTTGGTGTTTGTCAGTAGGCCTGGAGCAGGGCTAGATTGTTTACTAGAATACAGTTTGATGGTCAGTCTGCCTTTTTCCTCATTTTTCTGTGCACCTGTAAGAAGATACTGACTGCACTGGGAAGTTTTGGAGGGAAGGATATTATATTGAGAGCTGGGCAGGCAAGGAAAGAGTATTTAATGAGTTCTTACTCCATGCTGATGTTATTTTCTCTAATCCTCGCAAGAGCCCTGTAAGACATTAGTCCTCATTTAAAAAGGAGATAGCCTTAGTGGTTGTACAGCTCATTCAAGTAGTAATTAGTAGAGTCTGAATTTTAATCTCAGGATTTTTTTTTTTTTTCCTTTTCGAAGCCCTTCATGACCACACTAATTCTGCTGCTTATTACTAACTTCTTGATTTTATGCAGAATAGTTCATGTATTGTGTCATTGTTTTTGAGTTTCTTTACTGTGTGTAACTCTCCTTTGATTAAATGAAAGCATTGTCTGACTGAATAGACAAAAAGAAAAAACTTATTTGTGTGGTAATGTTTTGGGGTTTTGTTATATATTTTGAGGGGGGCAGTATGAGGGGTTAGATTGAAGCAGGGGCCTTGCACATGCTAAGAGCTGAATCGCCCTTTATGATTTCTTTTTTCTTTTTTATTTCGAATTACAGTCCTGCCTCAGTCTCACAAGTAGCTGGGATTACAGGCCTATGGGAGCACTTCTGTCTTTTTGTTTTTCTTTTTTGCAGTGCAGCATGGGGAACTGCAAGCAGGCCAGCTTTAAGTGATAAAGTACCCTTGGGAATCATTTCTAAGGCTGGTTTTTATATTTTAGGTTGTCAGAGATAGAAAGTTGTAAATTCTTTTAAAGTATAGAAGATAACATGCTGCTGTTCATTATTATGATTATATCTTATTCCATATAGATTCCTTGTTGAATTACATATTTATTATTAGGTCCCTAGAAACTTTTTCTGGTGGTGGTGATGGTACTGGGGGTTGAGTCCAGGGCCTCCACAGTGAACTACATTTTCACCCTTTTTTTTTTTTTTTTTTTTTTTTTAAATTTTGACAGGGTCTCACTAAATGCCCATTCTGGGTGCGAATTTGTAATCGTCTTGCATCAGCCTCCCAGAGTGCTGGACTGACAGGATTGTGTCACTGAATCTAGCTTGGAAACTTTTATGTTGTCCTGTAGAGCATTGTTTCTCAAAATATGCTCCATAGACCATCAGTTTTGCAGATCAGAACAGTTAAAATGGGAACGGGAAGATGTTCTTACCTGAAACCTGATGGAAGTGTTTGTGATGTATGAGTCTAAACCAGTGATGGGGAACCTTTTAGATATGGAGCACCCAAACTACAACCTCAAACCTGCTATCCTGGAGTTGAGCACGGAGGTTACCTTGAACACTAAGATTTTAGTTTATGAAAAGCAACTCCTGTGTACTGACAGAGAGGGCTGCGTGTGTCCACTGCAGCACACATGCCATAGGTCACTGCCACCAGTGTATTACATAATGAAGGTCATAGGAGACAGTGCTTGCCAGGAATGGTGGTGCCCTCCTGTAATCCCAGCACTCAGGAGGCTGAGGCAAGAGGTTTGCTGGGAGTTTGGGGCCAGCCTGGACTACACAGCAAGGCCCTGTCTCCTGTGCTTGGAAAACACTTGTTTCTCCACTGAAAAACTGCTGACATCTGGGGCCACCTGACTGTGTGCCTGTGTTGCAGGATGCTTTACTGCGGTTCCTGGCTTTGACCCAGTGCAAGTCTATACAATTTCTCCAGTGATGGCAACCAAAACTCAGACATTGCACTTCTCTTTTGGGGGGGCAAAGTGGTCCCTATTTTGAGAATTTTTGCTTTAGAACAAGTAGTTTCTCTAACAGGTCTCTTTGATCTGAAACTGTATCTTTATGATAGGGACAAACATTGTTTCTTTTGGAGAGAAATCAGGTATTAAGTCACAGATAACCAGTCTATTTTTTTTATCTGCTGAATGGTTATATTATTTGGGATAGAGTATTTTACTTTTTTTTTTTTTTTTTAAGGAGAAAAAGGAAAAAAACCAGAAAAAGGGTACAAGTAATATGAAATTTAAAAAATAAACAATAAGAAATCACTAGTTAATAAGATTACATATTCTCATCTTAGAAATAGTTGTTCAAGTTACAAAATTGAAGCACATAAAGTAGACTTTGAAGCAATGAGAGTGCAAACAGTTTTGTTCAATGATCCAAAAAAAACACTCAGTAATAAGGTTATCTATCTTATATACTTAAACATATATGCAGTTATAACCTTTAGACCACTTTCTTTTTTTTTTGTAGAATGACAATTACACATTTTGGGTTTTATTACTCCCACAGTTCTTATTATTTTTATTTGAAGAGAGTAAAACCAAATGCGACATATCAGAACAGAGTCAGTCAAATCAAAAGGATGGACATAATAGATAATGTAAAAATAAAATATAAGGTGATCAACAATCTTGCTATTTTAAGAAGAATTGGCATTTATAATAAAATTGAACTAAACAGTAAAGAATAAAACCAAAGCATTGGAGACATTACAGGATTTTAAAAGAAAATAATAGTCAATCGGAATGGACGTCATAATGATTCTTACTGTCTTCACAGTTATGCCTATACTTTCGATCTTGGTACTATCAAGCAAAGCAGAATAGAGGAAAATCAGTCAAAACAAGATGGTGAGGGCAATACAGGATTTCAAATCAAGTCAATAGGAAATCAAAGTAGGTTACTATAATGTATCCTGCTATTTTTTATTTATTTTTCCCTAAATTAAAAAAAGAAAAAGAAAAAGTAAATAATTGAGATAAAAGAGGGCATAACAACAGAACAGCACAGGTCAAATCATAACCATTTAGGCAAAATAGTGTTTCACCACAAGATATCCTGACATAAAAATAGTTACCATAGTGTCTCTTTCCTTGAAATCTTTGAGTATAACTTCTTATACTGTAGCACCAAACATATCATGACACTATAAAACGATTCAAGAGAATGAGATTATTACAGGGTATTTAGAACCAATTGTCGAAAAATGAACAATGGTGTCTATATAAACTCTTTGTCTATAAAAGTTTTTGCTTATATTATCATATATAATAAAATCCAATAAGATACAACCTTTTAAGGCCAATGGAGACTGAAGAATACACGTTTGATAGAGTATTTTACTGTGCCTCAGTTTTTAAATCTATAAAATGGGCTATGATACCTCCTTTCTAGTATTTTAAGAAATAATACTTAAAAACATTCAGTATAGTGCCTAACATACTTTATTTTATTTTGTGTTCTGTCTTATGAGACAGGATCTTGCTGTGTAGTTCAGGCTAGTCTTGAATTCACTGTGTAGCCCAGGCTGCCCTTAAACTTGCAGTGATTCTTCTGCTAGCCTCCTGAGTGTTAGGATTATTGGCATGTGCCACTATACCTGGCTTCGTGTCTAGCATGTTTTAGGGTCGTATATGCTAGGAATTACGTCCAGGTTTATTTTTTTCTTTGACAAGCCTGTATGTTTGAAACACCATTTTTTTTTTTTTTTTTTTTTTGTGGAAGCAAACAAAAACTGCCAACATTTTTAGAAATAGATTGTATGTGTTCTGGTCTTGGTACTATAGTTAAAGGGTTTGTACTTAAAAGTGGAGAAAATTGGTTTGGTTAATATTTTTAAGGACTTCTCTCTTTTGTGTTTTGTTTTTCCTAGACTTCATATATTCATCAAATCAAGCACGTGTTGAGAATTTAATACAAATAAAGCTCTTATTTCTTCAGTCTTCGTAAAGACTTTTCTGTTTTGTTTTTTTTTTGAGACTGTTTTGTTAAGTAGTTCAGTAGTTTTGAATTCACCATGTAGCCCAGGCTGACCTTCAACTCTTGAGGATCCTCCTGCCTCAACCTTTCAAGTGCTGAGATTATAAGTGTGCGCCTCCACACCTAATGTGTACAGACCTTTTTTATTCTTACCAAAGAACTTCTCATCTGTTGATTATTTATTTTCCACCTTTATTAAGGTGTAAT